CCAGGCTGCCCTCGAACTCACAGAGATCCGGGTGCCTCTGCCTCCCGAGTGCTGGGATTAAAAGCATGCACCACCACTGCCCAGCTAAAATAAAATTTTATTAGAAAAAAAAAATCCTAGAAATTTGAGAACGTGAACGTGAAACATGAACATGGGGGGGAAACCCTAAAGAAAATAAATGAAAGCAATGCTTTTTTTTTTTTTTTTTAGGACAGAGCAGCCCTGGCTGTCCTGGAACTTGATCCATAGATTTCCTTGAAGGCACAAAGATCTACCTGTGTCTGCCTTTCTATCTTTCTGCATCTATCTTTCTACAGGTGTCCCCAAGACCAAACCTTTGTGCCCGCAGAAAAAGGAACAACCCCTCCCTTCCTCCACAAGAGCAGCCCTAGGGCTCAAGGCATGAGTACAATGCCCACAAGGACTGTTCCCTACTCTGGTGCCAACCACGGATTCTGTTTTGTTTTGAAGTCTCATGTACCCTGAGTTGGCCTCGATTTGTGACTGGGGACGACCTTTAACTCTCTGTCCTGCTCTCCCCACTCCAAGTACCCAGACATCAGTTTCACCAGGGAATCAGGGACAGACTCATTCCCAGGCCTGGGCCCCTTGAGTGACTTGATGTCAGAGTGCCTGTCACAGGTCCAAGACCCACAGAGAAGGTTCTTCCATGGCCCTACAAGCACAGTGAGCCCCCATACCTCCCATGCCTGGTGGAGGGGTCCGGTTTGCGCTCTTTTTCCTCAGCCCTGGACAGAGTTTCCAAACAGATGTTCCTCATCACGGCCTCGCTGCTCATCGGGAGCCCGGAGTTCCCACAGAGGCTGGTGGGAAAGGAGAGGGAAGAACAGAGGGTCATGTTCCTCATAAACCTTCCCTTGGGAGGCCCTGTGAGAGGCTGGAAACTGAGGCCCAGAAGTGACACCGCTCACCCAGTGGCTGCAGTGGGGCCCATATATATAAGCCACTCTTCCCAACACAGCTACCCACCTTCTGGGAAGGCTGAAGGCTTGCTGGGTATGGTGGCAAGAGCCTGGGTTCAATCACTGACGGAGGGTGCAGAGCACGGGGGTGGGGAGGGGACTGGGCTATGGCAAGATGTGCTTCTTCAAGTCTGCAGGAATCTTCCTTCACCCTCTGCCCCCGGGGCCACGCTGCAGTACACCCTGTCAGTCTCCAAGAAGGAAAGTAGTCCTTTCGTGTCTCTTCCAGAATTACCTAGAGACCACTAGAGAGCCTGGCATGGGCTGCCTTTGTCACTGGGCAGAGGATGGGGGGTATTAGAATCCTTGGACCCCATATTTGCCTTCCCCAGGCCCTACCACCCCAGTCCAGAATGGAGGTGATATGTAGCCTGCCTCTAAGTTCTTCTAGCATCTTTTGAATGTCTGCCCTTGCAAGCTTATCTTTCCTTAAGGAGTAGGCCCCTTCCTTTCAGTAAACTGGCCTGGACAGGCTACTGGAACTCTGATGGATAGGTTGGGGATGGGCATACACCATGGACACAAACCAGGATACAGTGCCTCTTGTTCTCAGTAGAACCACAGCCCTCCCCTAACCAGTCTACTGACAACTGTGGGCTTCCCTAACTGAGTCCAGGTTCTCCTCCATTTCCTCGGCAATCCACCCCTGGCCTTTGGTCACCTCTCATTCTTTTATAGGCACTAGAAATTGAACCCAGGGCCTTGGACGTGCTGGCCAAGCACTCACCACCAGCCTCTTATCCTCTTTAGAATAAAATTCAAGCCAGATGGTAGTGGCTCACACTTTTAATCCCAGCACTTGGGAGGCAGAGGCAGGCAGATCTCTGTGAGTTCGAGGCCAGCCTGGTCTACAGAACAAGTTCCAGGACAGGCTCCAAAGCTATACAAAGAAACCCTGTCTCTAAAAACCAAAACTAACTAACTAACTAAAAAAATTCTAGACCCTCACTGTGGCCCCTGCTTCATACCTCGCCCCTCCCCCACCCCACCCTCCCCTTGCATTCCTCCCTGTCCTTCTGGTCAGGAAGACACCTGGGTCTTTCTGCCCCCAGGCTTCAACAGGTCGATCCCCATGACGGGAACCTGACTGGAACTGGACAAGCCCCTAAGAGCTGGAGCTATGTCTGGTCTTGTTACTGTAGAGATAATGAATGCAGCTGCACTGGGGACATTCTTTCCTTTAAGAAGGAAAAAAAGAAAAAGAAAAAAAAAAGTTTTGTTTTGCTTTGAGTGCTAGGATCAAACCCAGAGCCTCCTCTAAGCCTGGCAAACACGCTTTGTCTGAATTACATCTCCCTGCTCCCCAGCCCCACCCCACCCCCTTTTTCTTTCTTTTTGAAGCAGGATCTTTCTACACAGCTCTTGCTTACCTGGTAATCAGTAAGTAGTCGAGCCTGGCCTTGAACTCAGTCAGGTTCTCCAGTGCTCTGAGTGCTGGGACGTTAAGCATTTGTCTCCACACCTAGCTCCACTGGCTAAGAGAAGTCTGACTTTGTAGCTCGGACGGGCCTTGAACTCATCAGCAGGTAGGAGTACTTACTGAACTAATTATTCTCTGACCTCCACCTGCTCACTATGGCATATGCATGCTCATTCTCTCTCTCTCTCTCTCTCTCTCTCTCTCTCTCTCTCTCTCTCTCTCTCTCTCTTTCTCTCTCTCTCTCACACACACACACACACAAATAATAAATTTATTTCATTTATTTATCTTTTTTTAAAACAGGGTCCCTCTACATAGCCCTGGTTGTCCTGGAACTCATTATGTAGACTAGGCTGGCCCTGAACTCATGGATATCCACCTGCCTCTGCTTCCCAAGTGCTGGGATTAAACTGCTTCATTGGCACAGTATCAATAAATAATTCTTTTGTTTGGTTTTGTTTTTGGGGTGGTGCCTCACTCTGTAGCCTTGGCTAGCCTGGAACTAGGTATGTAGACCAGGTTGACCTCCAGCTCATAGAGTTGCCTGTCTCTTTCTCTGGAGTGCTGGGGTCAGTGAGTAATTATTTTATTGAATGTACCTGAGCTCTTTTCTGGTAATGAAGCTATCACGACCAGTGAAGCACAAGGTAGGAGCTAGCCTTAGGTCTCTCTCATGGGAGAGAAAACGTGCTCAGAGACGTTAGGCCATTTTGTCAGAGTACACAGCTCAGAAGAAAAAACCAGGGGAGGCTTTATCTCTTTTGCTTGGAGACTAGGTTTTGCAGCAAATCTTGTCCTTGAACTTTGTGATCCTCCTGCCTCCATCTCTGAATCCTGGGACCGCTGCTGGCCTGCCAGTGAAGAAGCCTTTCTCCTCTCCCCGCACCTCACCCGCTCATGGTAGAGAGCCGGCGGAGCGCCCACAGTGGTCCTCGAAGGCTGCCTAGGAGAGGAGGCTGGAAGGCTAAGACAATTTTACAGTCGCATCTGTAATCTCCAAGCCCGGGAAGCAAGAGGTAGCCAAGTCTCTGTTATCTAGTGCGTTTGAAACCAGCCTGGGCTACACGAAACCCTGACTCAAAACCACAGCGCATTCGTGGTTGGATGAAGGAGAAAGGTGGAGTAGCAGGGACCTCCTGCTCCTCTGCCAGCCGGGGGTTTGAGGAGGTCCCCGCACCGCTGGGGACAGGGCGGGCAGCAGTAACACTCTTTTCCCGCGCCCCTGGGGACTTGGCTCAGCACAAGCACAGAGGCGGGACGTTCCCACGTGGGGGTGGCGGGCAGAGGCGGGGCGAGCTCTGGTCCCCTCGGTCCAGTCTTCAATTCCCTGCCAGTCACTCAGCGGGGCAGCTCTGGGTCGCTCCGCTGCCTTCAGTCTGAAAGGTGAGTCCCACCCGAGGGAAGGGTCGTGGGGGTGAGATGTTCGCGGTGGCCATCCTGAGCCTTTGCCCCATCACCGCACACCCTCCCTTCCTGGGGTCCCCTCACTGCCCCGTTCTGATGCCAGAGACCTAGCCCCAGGCATTCCCTCTTTCCTGGGAAGTGAGGTCTCCTCTTCCCAGAAGACGGGCTGGCCCCTTTCCTAAATGTTTGCCTCGTCCACCCGCTCAGCTAGTTTGGTCCTTGGCCTCTGTTGCCGCTGGGATGCCAGACCCTACGTGTCCGAGTGATGGTAGGGCGCAGCCTGCCCCCTCCTCCTCCAGCAGAGCAGGCAGAACGCACGTAGGCAGTCAATTAAGGAGACCTGGGAGCAAGTTGCGGAGCATCTGCTCTGAGATCTGGGCCAGCTGCTCTGCGGGGAGGAGACTCAGGACTTTCCTCTGGGGCAGACAATTTAGTGGGGCTCCCAACCTGGCTGATGTGAAACTGGCAGCAGAGCTCAGGCCCCACCCTCAACCCCAGACCCAAACCGTTCAGACCTTGTCCAGAGGTTTGACCTCCTCCCGCTTCTCAAACGATGAATGGAGAACCTAAGAGGGCCCCAAAGATCTAGTGCCTCACCTCCACCCACTGCCACGTATCAGGCAAAGCTGAAGGGGGTCCCTTCCAACCCACCAGCAAAGCAGAATCTGGCATCTGGCGCCAGGGGCAGTCAGAGAGCCGTGTGGTGCAGAACCGCCCCTGTCTCCTGCCCCACAGATGCTCTCCAGAGCTGCCTGGAGTCTGCTGATCAGGACCGGAGGACTGGGAACTCGAGGGACACACAGCCCAAGAGGCACTGGTAAGGCTCAGACCCAGGGGTCAGCCCTGCTCCAGAACTCGGGCAGAGAGCCTTGTTAACTGTCTCCTATCTATCACATCCTGTGATCCTGCGCCTGGAGTCCTGGAACAAGTTCCTCCAGCAAACGGAGTCCACTGTGGAACAAGAGCGTAGACCCTTCATCCCAGGTTTCCTTAGAGCCTAGCCCACACCTTAGTCCTCTAAGACCTCTGATTCCCAAAGGGGAGGGTGCTGCAAGGATGGAGACCCTGAATGCTCCTTTCCAGACCTTGGTGCCAGGACTAGGCAGAAGAAGAGGTGTAAAGCAGGTGAGATTTTTGGCCAGATAGCAGAAGGAATCTGCTGCTCGTCAAAGATAACATTGGCTGATCCATTCCTGGGACCCCCGAGCTATGCTAATCACTTTAGATTTTGCAATAGCAGCGTGCAGCGGCGCTAGCTCTGCTTCTTAGATGAACAGCTAGAGTCCAGAGTGCTAGATACTAGATAGGGCGGCACCCAAGATTGGGTATGGTGGCTCACACCTCATTCCGGGTACTCAGGAGGCTGAGGGCTGCCACACATCCCAAAACAGTTTGGCTTACGGACTGATTCCCTGTCACAAACAAAAATGACAACAGCAAAACTGGGCATGGCGGTTCATACAACCATAGCATTTGAAAAACCGAGGCAGGCGGATCACTGTGGCTTAGAGACAAGACCAGCCTGGGCTATAGGGCAAGGCTGTCTCAAAACACCCAAACAGATGATAGATAGATAGATAGATAGATAGATAGATAGATAGATAGATAGATAGATAGATAGATATGTAGAGAGACAGGACTCAGAACCAAGACTTCTCTGATGCTATTCTCCTGCCTCTGGTGTCAATAAGCAGGACAGCCTGTAGTGAGACCCTCCACTTTCTAGCCTTGCTCTGGGCAGCCTGGCCATCTGCTCAAAGCTGAGGCCTAGTCCCCAAGGAAAGTCTCTACAAGGCTCTTGATTCTTCACTTTCCTTTCTGGACCTATGATCACAGAACACTGCAGTGTGCGTGCCGGGCCTTTGGTGATTTTAAAAAATTTTCTATTGCCAGTATGCATGATGTATAGGGGTCATTTAAATTTATTTTTGTATGTATTTATTATTGTATGTATGAAAGATATATGGGGGCATGCTATACCATGCTTGTGGGGGTCAGAGGGCAGTTTTGTGGAGTCTTCTCTCCTCCCACCTTTGTGAAGCTCCCAGGGATTGAACTCTGCTCGCCCTACCACCGTAACTGTCTCTACCCACCGAGTCATTGCCCAGGCCCTCTCCTTTCATCTTACTTTTTGGACACAGGCTCTCCTGCACCAGCCTGGCCTGGAGTTTGCTATGTCGCTGAGGATAGCCTTGAATTCTTTTTTTTTTTTTAAATATTTATTTATTATATATACAATATTCTGTCTGTGTGTATGCCTGCTGGCCAGAAGAGGGTACTAGACCCCATTACAGATGGTTGTGAGCCACCATGTGGTTGCTGGGAATTGAACTCAGGACCTTTGGTAGAGCAGGCAATGCTCTTAACCTCTGAGCCATCTCTCCAGCCCCCTAGCCTTGAATTCTTAATCCTTCTGCCTCCTCCTCCCAAAGGATGAGATGATAGGCATGTGCCACCATGCTTCATGGTGCTGGGAATCAAACCCAGGCCTTCTCACATCCCAAGACTTTCAGCATACTAGGCAAGGACTCTACCCACTGGGCTACGTTCTCAGCCCTTCTTCCCCCAGAGGACCTTTGATGCGTTATCTGGAAGCTTCCACGGAGGTGAGAGGCTTCTAGAGGAGGCTGTGCAGATGCAGTTGCATTCGGTGTGAGTTGTGTCAAGCTGTAGTACACACCCTGCTGTCTCTGAAGCCCCATGAGCACATGTAAAGTCACGCTCAGGGTGCTTTATAGTTTGCACGGCTGTTTTCCCCTGGATCTCGGCTCCCTCTTTAAGCCCTTCCTCACCCCTAGCCTCTGCCTCAGTGGACCTCCTCTCGGGCCTACATCTTCCCAGAGAACGCAGGGTTTGCAGCAAAGAGGTGGTGACCTGTGCTCCTTGCCTGAAGGCTCAGTGTGCTCATCTGTCAAATGGAGATGACCACATCCATCCTCTAGCTCAGAGTGACATGTGGCCCGTGAGCCAGCTCACCTGAAAGCCTTCAACTGACACACAGCGAACACGAAATGTACCACTTATAACTGAAGTCGTGGTTAAAGATAGGTGGTTCTGTTGCAGCCTGGACACAGCTCCCTCCCTTTTACCTGCAGCTAGCAGCCAGCGGAGGATGAGCCCCTATGTGGACTGCTATGCCCAACGCTCCTATCCCATGCCCGATGAACCCTTCTGCACAGAGCTCACTGAGGAGCAGCGGGCCCTGAAGGAGAAGGAGAAGGGCAGCTGGGCCCAGCTGAGCCAAGCGGAGAAGGTGGCCTGTAAGTATTGGGCTAGGCTACTATCTGACCAAAGAGAAGGGGAAGGCACGGGGCGGGTGTGTGTGTCCAACTCACACTTTGTTCAGTGAAACCCCACGTCTAAAGTTCGTGACATTGGGGACATGAGGAGAGTCACTTGGGCTGATCTCACAGTGTAAGGCAGAATGTGTCTAAGGTGGGGTGTGTCCCAGGGGCTGCAGACCCAAAAGAGAAGATGGTCCCCAGGATCTCTTTCTGGGGAAGAATAAGAGTGACATGGGGAAGGGTGTCACAGGAGCAGGTGTGGGGGTCCTTATGTCACTAAGTGGGGCACAGAGAGGCAGCTGACGTAGTCAGGGAAGAAGGGAGGAGAGCTATGTGGCCCTGGGCTGACCTGGGCTATCTGGAGCCTCTTGGCCTCATTTCACAGCTGGGGTGCCAATGTCTCTTACTTCAGGGGGTACTTAATGGGCAGAAGGCAGCGTTGCTCACTCCCTCATGCTTTCTCTCACCGGGCATCTTACTGGCATCTACTACAAAGGCAGGCCCTGGCACGGGTGGGAAGAAGCTGCATCCTTGCCCTGTAAACTTAAATGCTTAGTGTTCTGCCTGGCTCCTTTTCCTTTCTTCCACACCCGCAACTCCCCTTCTCCCCCACCCCCTCTTCCTTCTTCTCTCTTCTCCTCCCTCCTTTCCCTTCTACTTATTCCACCCATCTCCCTTCTATATCAGAAAAGGAAGGCCCCTCTTTTCTTCTTTACCCAAATGTCACCACATTAAGTATGTCCCTGTACCCACCATTAACTGGCCAACAGCTGGTCCCATAGTCATAGGAAACAGAAGCTCAGGGAGATGACATCACTGGCCAGGCCACACAACTTAGAGTTACTAGCCAGCGGTCAGGACTTGGACCCACACAGAAGACACCAGGGCCACACCACTGCCACCCCACACTCTGGGAAGGCTGCTGGGTTACAGGAGGGAGCCAGAGCTCTCAGCAAGCACCAGCGGGCCCTGGACCTCTTGCCACTGGATCCCCCCTCCCTCACTTTCACCCCACCTCCTTCCTCCTCTCTGCTTCTGCCTGGGTGGAGAGTCACTGTGGCAGCCAAACTGCCCAGCCCAAGACGGTTCTGCCCAGGAGCCTGTGCCAGCGCTCATTTTCCCTCACACAGCCATCTCGGAGCTATTTAAGGTACAGAGACACAGTGTTCACATAGGCCACACTCTTAAAGAACTGCAAGAAGGGAGAGGGGCAGGGAAGGTGGGAAGTAGGGAGGGTAGAAAGAAAAAGGAGAAAAGGAAGCAGGAAAAAAAAAGAGGGCAAAGGGGAAGGAAGGGAGGGAGGGAGGGAAGTCAGCATCCTTCCTGAAGTCCTCCTCAGACCAGGTCTTTGGATCACAGACATTGCTTGTCCCCTCTATTGCTTTTTCATTATATGACTCTTGATCTGAGCTTAGGCATCCAGCTGGGTAGTGGGCCACGATGCCCCTGGTCCATGCATCTCCTGATAGCCACGCCAGAACCGAGTTAGGCATCCAACTGTGGCTATATTTTGATAATTACTGGAAGGTGCACAACTTAAGCAAAAACAAAGCTTTAAGTTGGCATGGTAGCTGGGTGGTGGTGGCCCATGCCCTTAATCCCAGCACCTGGGAGGCAGAGGCAGGCAGATCTGTGAGTTCAAGGCCAGCCTGATGAGTTCCAGCACACCCAAGGCTACTCAGAGAAACCCTGTCTCCAAAAACAAAACAAACCCCCCAAAGAGAGTTTAAGCTGGCATGGTGACATGTACCTATAATACTAGTCCTGGGAATGGCTGAGGGAGGAGGATTGTGGGTTCAAGGGCAGCCTAGGCTGTGTAGTAAGATTCTTTCCCAAAATAAATGAATGTTTTGTAGTTTTAAATGCATAACGATACAAAACAGAGCCTCCTGTGTGCTGCCAGTGATTTCGGTGCTGGGGAGGCATCGGGGACCAGTGCCCTTGTTCTTCTGAGGATCTAGGGAGCTTGAGTTCTACAAAGCAGGTGATAAAAATTCTCAGTGGGAGGTGGGAGGTCAGGGAAGTCCTGATAAAGAATTGCCACATAAAAGCTTATTTGTGTACTTCCACATCAGAAATGCACCCTCCCTGTTCAGTCAGAATAGACCCAAATCCCATCTTCCCTGGGGCTGGCCAGGTCCTGTGGGATCTGCCTCCTGCTGACACTTACTCCTCTTCCTCAGTCACGCTTCCCTTTCTTTGCCCCTTCCCCATCTGTTCCTGTCCTGGGCCATTTAATTTAATTTAATTTTTTTATGTTTTAGTTTTTTGAGACAGGCTTTCTCTGTGTTGCTCTGGCTGTCCTAGACTAGGCTGGCCTCAGACTCAGAGAGATCTACCTGCCTTTGCCTCCTGAGTGCTGGGATTAAAGGTGTGTGCCACCACCGCCTCCAGGCCTTAATTTTTGCAACAGTGGGTTTCATTGTAAAGCCAGCTGGATTGAGACCCAATGTGTAGCCCAGGCTGCCCTTGAATTCACTGAGGTTTGTCTGCCTCTACTTGGGCAGGGCTGGGCTGAAAGTGTGAGCCCCCACATTGTGCTCCTTCGCTTTCATTTCAGTCTGGCTTTCCGTGTTTGATTTCCTAAACCTGGGTCCACAGAGGTCTCTGAGAGGCCTTCTTGACTTAAAAAGAATCTGGTGGCAGGGGTTGGAGAGATGACTGTTCTTCCAGAGGCACTGTGGTTCAACTCCCAGCACCCACTTGGCAGCTCACACCTGTCTGTAAATCCAGTTCCAGGGGATCTAACACCTTCACACCAATGCATATAAAGTTAAAGAAAAAAAAAAAAGCTGGTGGCTGCACTGTCTAGCACTGCAGCATTCAGGAAGCTGAGGCAGGACAGCAGAGTGAGACCCTAGCTCAAAACAAACAAAACACACAAGCGAACAAGAATGGGCTGGTGTAGCTGGACAGTGGTGGCGCGGGCCTTTAATCCCAGCATTTGGGAGGTGAGGCAGGTGGATCTCAGCCTGGTCTACAAAGCGAGTTCCAGGATAGTCAGTACTGTTACACAAAGAAACCCTGTCTTGAAAACAAAACGAAACAAAACAATGGACTGGTGTACGGGGAGATGGCTCAGTGCGGTACCTGCCATGCAAGCATGAAAACCTGACTTCAGAAAAAGGCTGGGCAGAGCAGCATCTGCCTGTAATCCCAGCCGTGGGGAGGCCAAGACAGGAGGCGCTCCCTGGCCAGCTAGTATAAACCAATCAGTGAGCTTCAGGGTCAGCGAGAGATCCTGTCTCAAAACACAAGGTAGCAAAGGTAGAGCGTGATCACGGAAGACACCAGATGGTGATTTCTAGCCGCCACATTCACGCATATGTATGTCATTCACGCACATCTATGTCATGTGCACTCAGGTGTACCAGGCCTTTTCTTTTAGGCCACAAACCAGCTCCCAAATCATGACACAGAGACTTATCATTAGTTTTGAATGCTCAGCCTAGTTTAGGTAGGTTTCTGGCTAGCTCTTTTAACTTAAATTATCCTGCTTCTCTTTATCTACCATTTGCCTTGGGGCCTTTTACCTTTCTTCCTTCTGTATCTTACTTTCACTGCTTTCTGTGTCTGGCTGGTGTCTGCCTGGCTTCTGGCTCCAGGCATCTCCCTCCTCCTCCCTTCTTGTTCCTCTTCTTTCTCAAGCCTGGATATCTCCTATTTATTCTCTCTGCCCTCAGTCCCGCCTATCTTTTCTTCTGCCTAGCAGCTGGCCATTTAGCTTTTTATTAGATCAATTGGGTGCCTTAGATAGGCAAGGTGAGTCAGCTGCAACACATCTTTACGGAATTAAACACACGCAGCATCAACAAA